GAAAATATGAGGAAGAGATCGACGGGCGAATTGGAGTAGCCAGTGGCATTCTGAGTGAACCAGCCCGATCCACTGTGACTAAAGCAGAGCTCAGTCTGAAAACTAAGCTTTCGGTGTTCAAGTTGATCGCTATCCCCATGCATGCCTGGGGTCAAGAGTCCTCGACCATGACTGAAACGCTTCGAACCCGGGTACAAGCTGCTTAAATGGGCTTTGTTCCCCGAGTCGCTGGCATTACGCGTCTCGACATGGTCAGAATACTGACATCCGGGAAAGCCTTGATGTACAGCCTTTGCTTCTCCAGATTGAGAAATCACAACTGCAATGGTTTGGGCATGTTGCGAATGCCTCCAGAAGAGGGGGTTAAACTGCTGTTTTGTGCGAAACCATCCGGCAAAACGCTCATGGGACGACCAAGATCAAAGTGGTGGAAATATATGGAAGGAGTCAGTTCCAGGCTCCAGGTGGCTTATGTCGAAGCTCGCATTCTGGCACATTATCAGGAACGTTGGATACTCTGTCGGACGAGGCTGCCTCCGTGACCCGAAAGGAGAAACGGCCATGGAAGATGATGATGAAGATGATTTATTAGCAAAATGCATAGATCAAAATTTCAAGCCCGAAAGAGAAGGCCAATTTGCCTGTAAGGCAAGCATACGCAACTGCGCCATTTCGATTCACAGACTATTTGAGGAAAAGTTAGATAAAACAATTTTTTACTGCCTGAACTTTAAATGACTCATAAACTGCCTATATGGAATACTCGAAAACTTAACTTCTCGGTCATTTTTGGGAATTATCGCGCGAAGGAAGAGCAAGCAAGCGAGAAGAAAGTATAGTAGGGTACATGCCTATCACCCACTACACCTCCTCAAGGATTTATATGGACTCCCTACATCAGCTGACAAGCATTAAGAATATAGACCCTGATAGAAGGACCGTCACTTGGGTATTAATTCGTACTGAAAACCTGACGATATTTTCTCATCCTGATGTACATCGACTGAACGCAAGATACAATTTACTCGTATAGTTGAGGCAATACGGCGGTAGAGCGAAGGACACAATCAAATCATCACCAATCCACATTATCTGGTTTATCATACCGACAAACAAACGAGTCCCAGTACTTGATGCAAGGAAAACAGATTATACACCATACCTACCATCCAAGCGAAGATACTGACTTCACAACGAAGACACTCTTAACTGATGATATCTAAACAGAAATCCCTGCGACAAAACCTTCACAAAAGAACAGTGTCATAAATGACGTCCATCATGGAAGCATAAGAAATAAATATATCTGTACAGTTCGACTGCTGCCAGCAGTTGTCACTTGTGAAAGTGCATATGAATTTCAATCACACAATTTGAAAAGCTACTAAAAGTGTTGCAATTACTTGCGATATTTTTCACTCTGATGCGCCTTATAGTCCGCCTTCGCGTCTTTCACCAACTTCTTCGCTTCCTTTATTTGCGCTTCTTTGTCATCCATCTGGAAAATAAAGCAACTTTAAGTAAAACCAAAAATTAGCATATTAATATCTACGATAAAGGTGTATATCGCGACAGCTTCGCTGGCGAATACACGAATAAGGGTAAAGTAAGAGCACTGTCTCGGTTCACAGAGCATTCGTCAGCCAGCCTTAATTTTTCGATTGATAGTGGAATATTTCACAAGACAAAACCACGTTTATACCCTTAATCAGTCCGGGGAGTGTTACTACAAGGCAGCGATGTCCAGGTGGACAACTGGACAATATAAATGACAACGGTGGCTTTAACACATGAGGATTAAATGAGAGGAACATGAAAGGAATAATTTGGTTCCCTTCCGGGAGAATGTACGCAGTTAATCTAGAAATCAGAAAAAGGAGGCAGGGTATCTTTGAAAATTTGATTCGCTTTAGCCACCTCGTTTGCTACCGCTTTGCGTGCTTCTACACCTTCTACACCGCACGCGAGTTGAAAGCCCTTTCCGTCCAAGCCACCTACTGAATGCAGCCTACTTCTGTCCAATCCTCAGCGGGGCCTGTGCCGTCTACCAGGCTGTAGTTCGTTTCTGATTTCCAGATAGCAACCCGTTTAAACTACAGCATTCAGCGGCAGCCCTGAGTTAGCCGCTCTCAAAGAGCATCCACTCGGTTTCTACATCAGCGGTCATCACTGGGATCCTTTCAAACCGTCTGGCGATGTTGCTCGCAAGTTTTGTCCTCGTATCTGCAGATGATAACGTTTTCCATTTGATTTCATGGCAGTTAAGGTATCGAATCCAGCTTAAAATTTCGCAACCACGCGTGAAAACAACTACATTTTCTTAATAACGGAGGCTCTCCTCTACGCTACATAATGCCCGCTTAAAACGTTTCTAATGTGTAGAGGGCGTCGGTCAGATACGACTTTGATCATAATTATGCGCACAGTTTGCGTTGTCTCATTTAGTTGAACCGTTATATAATTTTTGGCGCAAACACTTCGGAAATTGACTTTGATCTAAAGGGTCACAGAGGGTCTGTGACTGAGCCCGCGTTACCTTCTTTTGCAAGTTTTCCATCTGTTGTTCATGCGACTTGGGCACGGCGCGCTGGTGGTTGCACAGAATTGCCACTTGACGATTGGCACGATTGTACGCCAGCAGCTTTTCAGCCGGGCTCATGTTTTCTGAACACAAAATATGTGTAAAACGACCGCAAAGCAACCACCTATCGTCACGCTACCATTAGTCAACTCGTCCAGCTGCTGTTGTAAGGTGAAAGAGGCGTTGTACGTTCGAAACACCTTTGCCGTCAGGCCGTCCATCAAGCTTTGTAGATGTTTATTGAGAATCGTGGTCTTAACAGAACACGGTCAAAACGCAAACATGCAATAACCTACCAGAACGCACGCTTAATCGATCGAAAAGATCATCTTCAGGTCCCTTGTTCTCCATGAAGATTTTCAAGTTTTTGAACACACGCTTTTCCACCGCGATTCGGTTGTAGTAACGAATACTGTCCTTGCCGAGAAAGTCGAATTCGACCACGTAGCTAAAGCACAGCCGTACAAGCGGTACATACAACGTGCACCAGTTAAACATTACTCTTGTCCGTCCAAACTGTCGTGCAGTTTCACGTGTTCACATCGAAGTGAACAGCAGCCAACTGTGTCCGCCGTTTCGTTGTCCTCCTTTTCGTTGCCGGCTCTCAGAGCGAGCTAAATATCGCGCAATCAGCTAACACTTTGTCATAAGTTTCACGCATCTAACCTTGTCAATAAAATAAAGAGCGACAGCCCTCTGTCGCACTTTCATTTCTTTCGACTTCCAGTCTCCCCTGTAGGTGGCGCGAATTTTGTCAACGTATTTTTTCAGCTTGCGTGCCGTCTCGTACTTCTGCCAGTCCTTCTCTCCCTGACATAATGCTTCAATAAATCACTTATCGGTAGTCGACGAAAATACCTTAATTTTCGAACTTGGATTAAGCATGACGTATTTCATGTTGTTCATTATGTTTTCGGTCCAACTTGCTAACCATGTAACCTAAAGTACAATATGCAATATAGCATATAAACACGGAATATGTATTATAAATAAATGCAGAATGAATATTAAATAAAGTACAACAAACTTATCGGCGTAACAAAAAGCCATCGAGAGCACATAAATTGTCACTGGCCATTAGACACTAAGTAGATTCGCATGAGCAAGTATGCAACCTAAGTTGCAAAATTATTTGTTCGAATTTGTCGAAAACGTAAAAATTTCAATGACGGATAACTTGAAATGCTATGATGATAGTGCGGTGTTACGTCGTCACAGGAGACGTACTGAATTCATAAATGTCAGCGTTACAACCCACAAACTGAGCAACTTATTTCAACAGTAATGTAACTTTCAGCTGATCAACTGCTCTTCGAATAGCTGCTCAATCATCTACCAAGTGGTCGGGCTCAATGCTATCAGCTAAAAACTTACGGTCATCGAGCTAGCTGATGACCCGAAATCATGAAATCAGTTATTGTTTGGCAACAAGATTTACCTCAGTAAGGTCGAAATTGTATCAGTTCACCATGTTAACTACCTATGTGAATATGCAACACGCCATGAATCACAGAATTAGAATGGATGAAACAACGTTTGTAGAGCTGGTGACAACTACTTAAGTGCCGCGCACCAATCGAGCAGAATATTATCCTCGAATAGGCGCCATTAGCTGATCAGACATTCCAGCTGCGTTCAAGCCGTAACGACAAACACAAAGAAAACTTACGATTTCTTTGACAAAAAGGCTATGAACCCCGTATAAGAGTTGTCTGACACAGCAAATAATGCTATAACTGACCACTCTGTGCAGAGTGCCTTTCGTTTGCCCTCTTAAGAAACTACGCTGAAGATTAAGACATGAGTTCGCATGTCCGACTGAGTTAACAAGCGCTTTCCGGGTCCAAAACGGAGCTACAAACCATGTAAGTCTAAGGGAGAAAGACATATCAATGGACATAATCCCAACAACCCCAGAGACAGATGCGCGTATACAAACGCGTTTTCACCGCTTGAAATAAATAAAATCTACATACAAATCTACTTCTGTTTACACAAATACAATTGGCTATGTACAGTTAATGAGTATGTAGACCAGGGTTGCTCAGTCGGTAGAGCGTCAGACTCAGAACCGAGGGGTGTCGAATTTGAGTCATGGTCGGGTCTCTCGCCCCCTTTCTTACTATCAAGATTTATACATAAGTCCCACTGAGTGGGAAGGAAACAGGAGATTACATCATAATAGTCACATACTGATGCAGACTCTGCATCTAAATTAAGTTACTCATAGTTTATGGCATAGAAATGCATATCAGCGACGTACCAAAAGCTTCATGAAAAGAAGAACGTCGCAAATTGATCTATCATGAAAGTGTCAGACAGACATTCTGAGGGATAAAAACTTTCCTGTCTTTTTCCTTAATGGACATGTACGACTCAATTTACGTGAAGCGGTAACGTTCAAAATTCCACGTCATGGGCAATGTTTGAACTTAAGCTTGAGTTCACAGATAACGTGAATCTGCGTGGACGCAGTTGCGCCGTGTAAACTGAACTGCACCTGTCCATCAATTGTACGTACCCATTAACTGAACTTGGATAGACCGAAACAGACCTGTGCATACAGTAATTCATTTCAAAGATTAAATCACATTCATACATATGTGCAATTATCTTCGGTGGTCATTGGCGGGTCACACCCAATGGTTCCAAGCTTTCCATTCTTCTTTCGCGGAGGCATAGAATGAAATCATCCCCATGGTCACGGTCAGAGCTTTACTGTACAAAAACGTCCCGCAACTAACATTTTGTTAATGTTAGTTAGCAAGCCCGCATGCACTGTTTTAACGATTTTTCTGCCGACCTGCTATGCTCGACAGGGCGATTCAAGTCCACGTGGACCAAACATCAAATTTTCAAGTTACTTTTAAAACTTGAAAAATCCGTCTAAAAAAAAGTTTCGGAACGCCGTTTCGGTGCGTTCTATGACAAAAAAGTATTGGTCACAATATCGTAGTGCAAAGTTTACTGGGCTTGGAACTGCACTGATCGCTGCTACGCCAGAGAAAAGCAAAGGAAGTGAAAGCACGTACGTTCATTGCAAGGATAAGCCTAAACTTAAAAACAAGTATACAGCTCCCAGGGAAAGACCAAAGCCTGCTTATGCTAGTACAACATTCAAAATAACAGATTTTCAGCAGCTAAAAACAAAGTTTCTGATGAATAATTTCAGTTAACAATATTGCATTCGGTTTTGAAATTCATTACCGTGTTGTCATGCCGGATTTCTTTCCATTTGTGCCCTTCTGGAGGTTTGGGAACTTTCGAATCCCTAAACGATCGTGATCAAATACTGTAACAGCACGGCAACGTTACGATGACGACATTACTTGCTACAATTTATGACGACGTCTTCAGGCATTATTCGACGCTTGATTTTTCCCATTTTCGGATGTGTACCGCGGCCACGAAACAATCCAGGAGGTTCTATCTTAAAATTGCCGATTTTCTCTTTGTGACCATCGATGATAGCCTGGCCGTATTCTTTCTGCAGAAGTTCTTTCTCCTCCTTGAGTCTCTACACAAAAACAACATGCAAAGGCAGAGCAAACTCCAACTGACTAAAAACACCACACGACAGCGTCCAACTAGCTTAATCATCAAATGCCCGAAATGCAAATTTTGCGCCGCCATCATGAATTCGGTCAAATATGACTTCGAACATTCTGCGATTAGTCTATACGCGATGGCATCTGCTTAAATTGTAGTAACCGTTATAACAAAGCACGTTATGACAAAACTCAAAAACAAAACGTAATTGGACGATTCGACAACCTATACTCTATTTTGTATCAGCATACGAATATCGGGTCAGCTGAAACCGCTAATGTTTGAAATACGTTGAATACACTACGTGGATTATGGTGGTATTATCGAAATAAGGGAGAAAATATGACTTAGTATTTTGCAGAAGTACAAGCTGGACCTACTTAAATGAACGGAGGCTAAATGTGGGAAACCGCCTGGAGGGAACATTTGTGTCTCGCACCATACAGTCAACTGTACTTTAAAAAATACGATTTTGGTGACCGGTAGCATAAGCGAGACCATCTGATCACAAACACTCCTTTTTACCAGGAGGAATACACCTGAACGATGGCTCGGCGTGGTCTGACCCGTTCAACAGATCGTCTCCACGGTGAGGAAGGTATCGTCCTGTTAGATGACGGCGGCAACTAAGAGTACCGAAAGAACTTCAACTGCGATTCTTACGGCTTTGTGTTGCGGCTAAAGTGACAGAAAAGTTTGTGTATTCTTCGCAACCTTTTCGGCTAACTACTTCAGGGCCCGCATCGCTGCTTGACGCAGTTTGTCAACGCGACATACTTGTCGTGTCAGCCGATCGTGACAATTAATGAGAAGCACGCATATTCTACTATCGTGGACGCTGATAACATTAATCTCAACGATCCACACATTACATAAATGGCGCCCTCGTTAAGTGCAAGTCGAAAGTGAAGACGATACGTCCGACAACGAACACACTGTACGCGTAGACAGAGCTGTTCAGGCATTCAATTGTGCACCACCTGATCCAAGTTCTGCGGAACCCTCCGGTATTTAACAGCGAACAGGACGCCAACTTGCACCGATTCGTCCCTTTTGTATAATCGATTGTTATACGTTCCACTGATATGTTAAACATGTCACTCCAACAAGCTTCATTGTCACTCCAGTGCCTCCAGCTGCTAAAAAACAGGTACTTATTGTCTGTTTATGACACTGCATGTTGAGGTAATTCATATGGAACACTTTGCTACACTGTCAGGCAAGAGTGTCATAATTTCGAAGGTTACGTCTTGAGCCAGACGACCATTACGGCAGGTCGTTTCTCGTGGCAGTCACAGAGATCGTCTGTCTATCTC